AAAGGGCGTGAAGCCGTAGAGACACTGTCGCGCTCGAGTTAGCACTGTTCATACATCTCAACGACCATCGTACCTCGTATAGTATGATGCCGATACTCCACCAGTCGCATCGGCCGTCATATAGCTCACCCCGAACAACCTCTGGTGCCATGTATTGGTTAGTTCCCACAACGCTTGCGGCCAAACGCCGCTTCTGAGTGCGGTCACGCCATCCAAGCAGGCCCATCGTAGGTGGTGTACAATCAGTCTCAGTTCCAGGACCGAAATCATGGAATGATGCCTTTGCCGGCTTGCGAGCTTCTTTTCTGTCCTGAGAATCCCCGGCCACTTGGATCCCGAGTTTCCTGAGCAGGGAGTATCGCTGCTCATTGTAATATACTTGATCATGAGCCCAATGTCCGTCAAAGGCTAGGCCAAAGTCGGATATCTTCAAATGACCGGACGCAGATATGAGGAAATTGTCGGGCTTGACATCGCGATGAATCCAACATAGCCGATGGGCTTCTTCGATACACAGGATCATCTCTGCAACATACCATCGGGTGATTTCTTCGGGCAAGATGCACTGGCGCATTAGCAATCCCAGGAAATCACCACCGACCATGTAGTCCATGATAAGATACAAATGGTCACGATCCTGGAAGCTTGCAATCAATGGCACAATCCATCGAGATTTGGCCGATGCAACAAGAAAGTCTCGTTCGGCTCGGAGGTGACCTTCTTGGCTGTTGCGTATCATTGCAGATTTCCGGATCACTTTCATTGCAAATACATCCTTCTTGACCCCTACCATCATCCTCCGACGTGTGCTTGTGGTCCCATCCATGACAGAGATAGACCGGGTTTTGAGCTTTGCCAGCTCTCCTCTGCAGAATGAATGCTTCTCCCCATGTGCATTGGTACCGTCACTTTCTGCCACTTTCTGTTCTCTGACCAGCCTCACAACTCCAAAACTCCCCCTTCCTAGAACCTTGATTGCTTCAAATCCAGCGAGAGATACCGTCTCGTCCTGTCGGCCACAACGAGAGTGACTTTTGAGAACACGACATTGGCGCAGATACTGCCGTTCCTGGATGATCCAGTTTTCCCAAATTCTCGCCCTTTCTTCGGGAGCCAGAGGAAGGCCATAAATATACTGCTCAAGCTCATGCTGGCGCTGCGAGCGAAGATCCGTCCCACAAAATACCGAGTTGAAATATGTTTCGAAGAAGACTTTTGCATTGGCAGCAGCCTCTACCGTAATAATCGAGGGCGACCGACCGAGTGAGCCTTCGATCACTTGGGTATGTGTACCCTCGTCGCTGCTAGACGGTGACCTTGTTTGTTTCGCCTGCTCGGGATCTACAATGCCTTGCTTCGAGCCTCCTGACGGCTCTCCTGATGTGGGAGGCGTCGTGGGAGGAGTTGTCTGAGGAGTGGAACGTGTACAAGTCGGAGACACACTGTCTTCCGGCGTGGTTTGGGGATCGGAGCTATCCTGAGCACTGTCGCCTTGCTTGTCCAATGCAGGGACAAGTGACGGCCCTGGAAACTGAGGAAGCCGAAAACTAGGCCGCGAGCGAAGATGTGAGCGACGGATGACCGTATGATTTCCAAAAGTGGTTGATAGCTTGGTTGACACAATATGTGTGAGAGCTGCCGGTGTCGACTGACTTCGCTTCAAAACTTCGGATAACCGTTTGTGGCTTGGTCGCACGATTGGGAGAGGGGCTTGCAGGGGTGCTTCTGAGGGTTTTGAGGCCACCTCTGGGTGGGCTTGGACATTTTCGACGGACTCTTTGATGTGATTGGAACTGGAATCAAGGTTACCAGTCGGGCTGGATCCTTCAGACGCATCCGGAGATCCATCGAGGACTGCAATCCGACCGGATTGCTCTTCATTCTGTCCATTCTCGACAGGAGCAGGAAAAGAGTGAAAGGTCTGTAAGGGGACGCGGTCATCCTCGACTATTCGTGGGTCATCTGGGTTGTGGGCTGCCACTGCTTTCAACACTACGGCCATCAATTAGCTTGGTGAATTACTCATGAGAACTGAACGAGCGGCGACGTACCTTGCGTAGGGTTTCGTAGACCCAGGAGTGACAGTATTCTCGAGCTCCGTTGGCGGATACGTTCTCGAACGCTGTCCTTGCTCTTAAGCTGACTCGGGTGAGGGTCAGAGCTTCGAGTACCTGACATCATTGTCTCGATGGTAGATCCTTCACTGCTCATGATATCGAGAGATGTTGGGCTATCATCCGGAGTTTGCGAGCTCTCGTCCATCCTGAGCTGCCTTGAGGCGACTGGACCGACTCGATATTGATACTATGAGGGGGACTAGAGCTCGTCATGCACCTACCCTTAATCATAGAAGTACATGTGCTGCTTGCTTTATTGTATGAAATGAAAGAAAGAAAGGCACCGTCATGTGCTTCATCACTCTGTCGAGACATGGAACGCCTCTTGAGTTGAATGCCTATGTAGTTATAGAAGAGATGAGGGAGTTGCAAGGTTGGCGCAGCGAGAGGAGGTGCCCGCCGCGGGCGTGGATTGATGCAGTCCCGATTAGGCAACCCCCATGAGAGTCACTCCATCCATCCATCCATATATACGTCTACCGAGGAAGGAGCGCTATGACTACGACGAGAGGCCAAGATGATGTATGATGGATGATATGCAATCACTTTTTGAGATTGTGAACACAGATATTCCGTTACTATCCTCCTCCCTGCCAAATGCAGCGGACGGCTGTGCAAAGAAACAAGTCGGATATCACAGAAATCAAAAGTCATATATTCGAAAACCCCTGGAACACCGATTCTTTTGGGAAAGAAATTAAATCCAACAGACATGATAGCAATAGAAAGATTAAATGCAATAGGATGGGAGACTGCGTTTCCGCAATCAGAGCGATGCTGGGTACTGGGTCAACAAGCGGAAGGGCGGAAACAAACATCCCCAGGAAACTGCTTATTTGATCTCGAGCAGCTTAACGTCGAAGATCAACTTCGAGTTGGCAGGGATGCCGGGAAGAGCACGCTTGCCATAAGCAAGGTGGGCGGGGATGGTGATGCGGCGCTCCCCACCGACGGCCATGCCGGCAATACCGATGTCCCAGCCCTTGATGACCTCACCCTTGCCAAGCTTGAAGGTGAAAGGCTTGCCCTTCTTGTTGGCTGCAGTCACACATGTTAGTCGAGTCATTGCTTGATGTGAGATATGATTTGGGACTTACCATCGAAGACCTTGCCATCCTCGAGCTTGCCGATGTAGCGCATAGCAACGGTGTTGCCGGCCTTGGCAGCAGCGCCCTTGCCAAGCTTCTTGTCGTCGACCTTGACACCCTTGACCTCCTTGACACCCAGGGTGCCGGTGGTCTTCTCAGCAGGCTTCTCAGCAGGCTTCTGGGCGGAGGGAGTGGGGCCCTGCTCCAGGTTCTTGGCGAACTGAACCTTCTTGCCCTCCTTGGCATCCTTCTTCTCCTCAACGGGGGCAGCCTCGCCGTTGTTCTTCTTGAGCTTCTTCTGTTGCTTCTTGCTCAGAGCAGGCTCGTTGGCAGCAGGCTTGGCCTCCTCGGCGGCACGCTTGTTCTTGCCCTTGGTCTCGACCAGCTTGGGGGCCTCCTCGTCGCTCTCAACCTCGGTGATTCTGGGGTCCTCCAGCTCATCGAGGTCGTCGCTCTCGTCCTCCTCGCCCAACAGAGCCTCGAGATCCAGCTCCTCCTCACCAGGGGGGAGGTCGTAGTCGTCCTCATCGTAGTCATCCTCGTCGTCGGAACCACAGGGGCCGTGCTCATCAGCGGGGACGACGTAGTTACCGGTCAGGTAGATGGTGTGGGTACCGGTGACCTTGAAGAAAACACGCTCCTCCTCACCAACGGTGATGTCGAGAGGCTGCTGGCAGTTCTACATGGCGAAGAGTCAATGGATTGTTAGATGGCATGATCAGAGATTTGGCTCTTACCTTCTCGGGGTCCAGGGTACAGAGGACCAGCTCATCCAACTCGAGACCCTCGTCGGACTCATCATCAGAATCGTCATCGGTGGCGGGGGCCTTGCCCTTGACCAGCTTGGAGATAGCAGCCTTCAGGTCGAACTCCTCATCCTCGTCATCTTCCTCGGAGTCCTCGTCCATAGCATCCTCGAGCTCCTTGCGGGCAGCAGCAAGCTTGAGCTTGCGGGCCTTCTCCTTGTCGCTGGGGCCGCCGTTGACCTCCTCGTCATCCTCGGAATCTTCCTCGGAGTCGTCCTCGTAGTCCTCATCATCAGACTCGTCCTCGAGGTCCAAGCCAGGAGGAGGGCGAACGAGCTTCAGGGTGGCGCGGGGACGCTTGTTGGAGTCGAAGCCATCCTCGTACTCGGGGGCCTCATCGGGGTCGATGGCAGCCATGGTCACACGGAACTTCACATTGTATTAGCATCATTTCCGAGATGGTTTTTGGTCTCAATGTCAATTGGACTCACCATGGCAGCTGCCTCAGGGACCACGGCGGGAATCAGAGCTCCGCCAGCGGGAACTCTGAGCGCATAGACGGCAACAGGCTGAACACCAGACATTTTGAATGTGATATGTGATATAGGGGAGGGGGGTATGAGTTTTTGTAAAGAAGGACACGAACAGAGCCCGACGAAAAGAAAGAGAGAAAAGGCAGAGAAAAGATCGTCTACCAGAAAGCACGGAAGAACGAAGGGAACAGAAGGAGGAGGAAGAGTCGAGGAAGAGGAAAAGTTTTGACGCCGCCGCAGCACGCCCGGAATTGCTGTGGCTGCACCGAGACCGTCCTTCACCGCCTTTGAGCTTTTTTTTTTTTTTTTTTTTTTTCTTCATCAAGGATTTCCCGGGCAACCAATCACATCGGAAGACCCACTCTGTCACCGCCTTCCAAGAACTGGAAGGCTCTCTATCATTCAGGTTCGAGCTCTTATCGAGTCACGTGATGTATCTTCTCCACTCCCCGCGCATGCAGTCCGAGGTCCTTCATTGCCTCTGCCGCTTCCAGACCCATTCATTCATTCGCTGCTATCGGGAACCACAGGCACACTCTCATTGTCCTTGCCCGATCATGCTACTTCTCTTGGCCCAACATGGGCTCAGTGTTGGATCAGAATTCTAGTGCCGTGCGCAAGCGTATTCAGAACCGTACGTGCTGATTACTCCCCCTCATTCCGCTGCCAGGCACGTCCGCACCGCTAATCGCTTATCGCGCCGCTGTATAGATCAATTCGAAGATGAGGGTGGCGAAGAATACGATGCCTCCACCTTTGGTGGCTTCAGCGATTATATGCGCAGGAAGAAGCTCAAGCTGCAGAATTTGGACGCTGAGATACGCTCCTCTGCTTCTGAGAATCCCCCCATCTTTCGAGGCGTCGTAGCGCACGTGAATGGCTACACCCAACCGTCTCTGCAGGACCTTCATAAATTGATTGTCAGCCATGGCGGTGGTTTTCTCCAGTACCTGAGCGGCAAGACGGATGCCACTCACATCATCGCCAGTTCACTGACCCCTAAGAAACGGGAGGAGTTCCGAAGATATCGGATTGTGAAACCAGCATGGGTAGTGGAGAGTGTCCAGGCGGGTCGCTTGCTCCCCTGGGATCAGTTCCGCGTCGTTGACGAAGGACATGCACAGAAAGTCTTGAAGTTCGACAATGGGCGTATGCTGAGCCAAACCAACACTTCACAGGCCGGCTATCGGGAGCAGAGCAGGAATAGCTGGTATGCCTCTCAACTTCAGGCAACGGAGGCAACTAGTCCCGTGAGGTCTCCTTTGGGGCAGCCTGCGGGTTCAGCATCGACGGAGACACAACCGAACTTGGCTTCCCAGTCGGACTATGGCGAATTTCCTAGCTTTTCGATGGACGAGACGGGCAATCCTCTCCCTGTCTCGCAACAAACCAATGTACTATCTTTTCCCAGGGATCCTGAACCTAAAAAGGACGACCCAGGCAATGATATTATTCCTCCCCGTTCAAATATCTCGCAAAAAACATCCCCATCGGCTCAACAAGCTAGTCCCTCGAAACCAGTTTTGACGTCTGAAGAATACAATGCTCAACTCTTGACGGATCCCCGCATGCGCAACTCCAGTGTAGTCAACCCGGAGTTCATCCAGCAATACTACAAAGAGTCACGTTTGCATCATCTCTCGACGTGGAAGGCGAATCTTAAAGCCCAACTCCAGTCGGCAGCTGCGGAGAAGTCGCAATCCCAGTCCAAGCGCGCGAAACCTGTTCCCGGCGCCAGACGATATATCATGCATGTGGATTTTGATTGCTTCTTTGCCGCTGTATCGACATTGAAACACCCTCATCTGGAAGGAAAGCCGGTGGCGGTGGCACATGGCGCTGGGTCGGGCTCTGAGATCGCAAGCTGCAACTATGAGGCACGTGCGCATGGGATCAAGAACGGAATGTGGATGAAAGGCGCTTTGGAAGCGTGTCCTAGTCTACAGGTCGTACCTTATGATTTCCCGGCATACGAGGAAGCGAGTCGAAAATTCTACAACGCCATCCTCGCCATAGACGGCATTGTTCAGAGTGTGAGCATCGATGAAGCGCTTGTCGACATCACCATGCAATGCTTGCATGCTGGAGGTTCGGATGGGAGAGGTGTTTCTGAAGGGTCTATCTACCGGGAACAAGCCAAAGCCGATGAGATTGCGCAAGCATTGCGGACAACCGTAAAGGAACAAACGGGCTGCGCAGTCTCCGTGGGCATTGGTGGCAACATTCTCCAGGCTAAAGTAGCCTTGCGCAAAGCGAAACCGGCGGGTCAGTCTCAGCTGAAGCCTGACGAAGTACTAGATTTCATAGGGGGTCTGACGGTCCAAAGTCTTCCGGGCGTCGGTCATAGCATGGGTGCGAAGTTAGAGGAGCTAGGCGTCAAGTTTGTGAAAGATGTTCGGGAGTTGACTCGTGAAAGGCTCACATCCAGCTTGGGTCCCAAGACAGGCGTCAAGCTTTGGGAGTATGCGCGAGGCATCGATCGGACCGAGGTCGGCAACGAGACGATACGCAAGTCCGTCTCTGCCGAAGTCAACTGGGGGATTCGCTTCGTCAATCAGAATCAGGCCGAGGATTTTATCCGATCATTGTGCGATGAGTTGCACAAGCGACTAGTCGAGAACCTCGTTAAGGGCAAGCAGTTGACGCTCAAGGTGATGCGGAGAGCAGCCGACGCGCCCCTGGAAGCTGTGAAGCACCTGGGACACGGCAAATGCGACATTCTCAACCGAAGTGTCATGCTCGGCGTAGCCACCAATGCGTCTGAGGTTCTTGGGAAGGAGGCCGTGGCCATGCTTCGCAGCTTTGGCATCTCACCAGGTGATTTGAGAGGGTTGGGGGTACAAATGGCCAAACTCGAGCCGCTCAAGTCTGGGTCTCCTCGCAAGCCCGACGGCAGCCAGCAGCAGCTGAATTTCAAGGCATCGCCCATCCGCAGAAGCATCGAGCGACCTGAAGACCCGGACGACGTGGAGAGTCCTCGGCGGGGCGAGTCCGAGACCGTCCGGTCCGTCCCCTCGATGCACGAGAGCGGCCACAAGCCATTGAACATATCAGGAACGCAATTCATCCTGCCCTCGCAGATTGACCCGCAGGTCGTCGCCGCACTCCCCAACGACATTCGCTCGAAACTGGTAGCCCAGGGCCGGTCTCGCCGCGACACGCGGTCGACCTCGCCCTGTCCGCCCACTCGCACGCGCCGACCCATAGGGGGCGCAGAGCTGCCTCCGCCGTCACAGCTCGACCCAGAGACGCTTATGGCGTTACCAGAGGACGTCCGGGCCGAAGTACTAGGTTATTACACCCGCGACTCCAGCGACCCGGACAACCAAACCCCCGAACCGTGGACATCAGCACCTACCACCACCGCAACCACCAACCCTCCCCGCCCAACCTCCTCATCCTCAAGCTCCCTCAAACTCCGCAAACCCACCACGCCCACCAAACGCCGTCGCGGCCGTCCTCCCATCATCAAATCCAGTCTAGCCACGACCCTAACTCAAGCCAAATTCGTCCGCCCGAACCCGCCACCACCATCAGCTTCAGCATCAACCACCACTACCACCACCACCACCGACCCTCAAGCAACAGAAGTCTCCGCCGACTTTCTAGCAGCATTACCCGAAGACATCCGCCAAGAAATCCTCGAAGAACAGCGTCGAACCCGTCTGCTGCAACGCCCAGCCCTCCACCCTTCAACCCACGCACGACCACCGACAACAAACAACAATGCCCCTCCACAACCTGCCCGCGAGAAAACAATCCCCCTCCCCCCGCTCCCCGCACGCCCCACCTTCACCGCCAACCGCCTAACTTCCCTCCCGGACCTCCGCAACGCCCTGAAAGCTTGGTACACCGCTTTCAACCCCAGCCCTGATCCCAACGAAGAGGACGAAGCAGACGAAAACGAAGAGGAAGAAGAAGAAGAAGAAGAAGAACCAGGCCCCTTCGACGAAGACATCCTCTCGCTAGCCCGGTACCTGAAACGGGTTGTCCTGGACGAGCGGGACCTCGATAAAGCGGTCGCCGTCGTAAGGTGGTTGATCTGGTTGGTTGAGAATGATTACCCGGGGGTCACGGCTGATACTACTGGTACTAGTAATGGTGCTGGCGGTAGCAGTAGCGGTAGCGGCAGCGATGGCCCGGCGAGTTCTGCTCACAGTAGCGGGGGCGGGAGCGCCAGCGGTAGCGGTCCCGGGTTTGGGTTTGGGTTTGGGAGCTCTCAGGAGGAAGACGCTTTCAAGACGCCCAGTCCGAGTGGCAAGATCTCCCGGCCGGAGGGCGATGGGTCCCAGCGGCAGCGGCAGCGGAAGCAGCAGCGGAAGCAGCGGGTCGGGAGGAGGTGGGGGGTTGCGGTGAGGATGGTGAAGGAGAGTGTTCTGGAGGCGGTTGGGGAGAGGGGGTTGGGGGTGGTTGATTTTGAATGAGGGTTTTTCCAAATCTAACTTGACTAGGGAGTAAACGTGTGTTGTATATTACTCATAGTGTGTTAGTTGATGAGTCAAGCTAGTTGAGGTTTGATTAGGTCACTGGAGAGGGGTGTTGCAGGCATTTAATCGAACTTGATGAAGTGGTACATACATACCCTGGAACAAATCTCAAAACAAAGCACATACATTTGGTACATTACATAGGAACGATAACATGCGTTCAGTATACCACTCCACTAAGCTACATCCCCATAGTCCGGTCCGTACTGACTACATATACCATCCACTGTACCCAAGCAAATCAAGCACCCGTACCATAACACCACATAACATATCACATATACACCACTCACCCCACACATAACCCATAATCCAAGCAACATGATAACACACCAATCGCTCAATTACTTATAGCCACTAATCTCAATACAGCAACAATCAGGCAACCCACCCAACCCTCAAAAACCACTCCACCATCCTCCTAACCAGCACGGCATCCCCATCCACGACCGTCCCAGCCCCCTCCAACGCGCGACTCACCCCCCTGGCCCTCTCCGTCCGGAACCGCAGCTGTCTGCGCTTCGCCAACACACTCTCCGGGAACTCATACTTGCTCGCAAAGAAATCCACCAACTTGATCGGGGGGTTGCGCACGGGGTCCGGGTCCGCGTCGCGCAGACGCTGCACCCATTCGCTGGGAGGTAACTCGACGAAGTCCAGCCCGGCGCGGCGGAGGGCAGGCAAGAGGTCCCGCGTCCAGTGGAAGGGGGATGGGTTGGTGAGGTTGTAGAAGATTTCTCTGGCTCCTTTGCTGGGGACATTCACATTCACAGAGGCAGAATCGGTAGGTGTGGGGGTATCGGGAGGGGCTGCAGTCGAGGCTAATGCGATGTCATTCACGGCGGTGGCGACGACATCCACCGGTAGCCAGAGGGGTTCCTCGTCGAGGGCGGGGAGGGCGCCGATGGTGCGGGCGGACTGGAGCATCAGGGGGATGGCCTCGGTGGCGTTCCAGATGCCGTGGACGGTGTCGCCGACCACCTGGCCGATGCGGAGGACCCGGACGGCGAAGCCGGGCACCGTGGCGGTGGCGCGGGCGCAGATGTGCTCGGCGACGAGCTTGGATTGCGCGTAGCCCATGCTCTGCGCGGCGGCGAGGGAGGATGGCAGGGTCTCCGGGACGGGGTTGAGGTCCGAGTTGACTACGGCGCTGACGGAGGAGCAGAAGTTGAAGGTGGCCGGGTGGGGGCGCTGGGCTCTGAGGCATAATGCCAGCAGATTCTTCAGGCCGCCTAGGTTGTCCTTCTCCAGGCTGCGGAGGGTGAGGTTGAAGTTGACGGACCAGGCGCAGTGGATGACGCTGGTGAGTTCGCTGGTGAGGGTGGTGTAGGTGGAGCGGGGCAGGCCGAGGGAGGGGTCGTCGCTGAGGCTGGAGGGGAGGGCGATGAGTTTGCTGCGCGCCTCGGGGGTCAGGGAGGCGTAGAGGAGGCGCGTGGTGAGGGATTGGTGAAGCCGGGTGTAGGCGTCGATGGGGGAGGCGGCGCGGATGAGGCAGTAGATCTTCTTGACCTCGGGGTTGGCTGCAAGCTGGGCCACAACATGGCTTCCCAGAGACCCAGTGGCGCCAGTGACGAGCTGGATGGAGTTAGCGAACCAGAGAACTTATCTCTAACAGCGATTGAACGCGACTTACAACGTACTGCCCGTCCAGGTCATTTGCACACGGCACATGCTCCTCAAAGTTGCTATACTTCTCAATCATGCCCTGCATCTGCTCAACAATCGATTCACCCTCATCCGTCACGCCAGTCTTGAGGTTAGCAAGATACCGAGCCAGCAAGCGGATGCTCGGCTGCTCAAAGGCGATATTGAGCCCCAGCTTCTGTCCATTCGTATCGATCTCTCTCGAAATCACCGAGCGCAGCTGCGTGGCTTGCAACGAGTCCATTCCCAGAGCAAAGAAGTCCGCATCATCGGTCAACAGACCCTGACTCTTGAGTGGGAGGATATCCGCGAGCTGCTCCTTGAGGAACGACCGGAGCTCTGCCTCCGACAGTGCCAGGGTTCCCGTCATGGCGTCTTCAGCCTCGTAGGCCTCTTCGATTAGACGTTCGTATTCCCGGTAGAAGCCTTGTCTGATAACGGTTCCCTTGTCCGTGCGAGGATATTTTGCATCCGCGGGTAAGACACGCACCATACTCTTGGATAGCTGACCGAACGCAGGCATGGATTCGTGGGCTTTCTCGACAGCGGGCCAGATCGCTTCCACGATCTTCTCGTCAGACAGAAACTGAGAGTCAGGGGCACGGACTACCGCGAGCCCGATGCAGGCCTTGCCCGCCCCGAAGACAATAGCCTCACTCACTGCACTATTCTGCCGGACGCGTCCCTCGAGGTCAAGCGGGTTCACCTTTTCGCCGTTCACAAGGACGAGTGTGTCGTCCAGCCGGGCATAGTACTTATATGCGGTCATGGTGGGATGCTTCACGAACAGATCCTTGGTGGCATACGAGCCATCCGGGCGGTTGGACATGACCTTCGAAGGCCAGCCGTCCAGACAAATAAGCTCGAACACCCCCGGGAACCGCTCCTCGAATTGCAGATACTTCTGCACTGTCTCCGACGGACGAAGCCAGTCCCACCCTTTGTCATCCCGAGGTCTTGTAGACATCATCAACTGGCCGGTCTCTGTCCTGCGATCCTTGTCAGCACGCTTTCATTAATCAACCACAGAAGAAGTACTTACGATCCATAGTGACTGATGAGATGTACTCCATTCTCAACCAGGAGGTTTCCCAGTGAGTCCGGACAAGCTGACCCGCCGAACATAACCGCCTTGAACTTTGCAAGCGCAGCGATACCCTCGGGGGTCTCCGCGAGCAGCTTGAGAGCATAGGGGACACCATAGAAGATCTCAAAGTCATGAGACTCCATGATATCGAGGAGATACTGCCTCGTCAGCGGCAACTTAGCGTTGTAGAGATGCAACTGCTTGCTGGCATGAATCGTGCGGAACAGGCAGCTGATCCCGTGGTTGTGATACAGCGGCAGCGTCACAAACCCGCACATGTTCATATGGCCCGCATAATTCTTCAAGGCAGCTTGCTGGGTGTGGAAGATGGGCTTCGGGAGGCCCGTCGAGCCACTGGAGTGGATAATCCATGCGATATGTTTAGACTCCGCAACAGGATCCAGAGATGGCGTCAGGTTGGTGTCAATTTCTTCGTCCGGAATTGGAAAGTTGTAGCATTCCTCAGTCGGGATTTCATCGATGAGCAAGTCAGGAACGCGCTTCCTGATCTCTTCGGCTGTATCTCTGAAGGATGAGTGCATGAAAATGTGCCTCGACTGTGTTCTTTCCAGCAAGGACACATAGGCGTCGATCGAGATCCGCGTGGACAGCAGCAGACCCGAATGTCCGAGTTTGGCCAGCGCCAGGAGCATGACAAGGTAGTTGAGGTCCGAAGGACCTAGTAAAGATATGACGGTGGGAGTCTCTGCGGAGGATTTCCGGGGCGGAATACTTTTGGCCAATACTTGGGCGACGCGGAAGGCGTAGACATCGAGTTGGTGAAGGGGATAATCCACATACTCGATGCCGTTGTGTGGGTAGGAAATCACAGGCTGTGAATCACCCAGAGATGCACGTTGGCGGACAAGCTCGTCGAGTGTCAAGGGCTCTCGCTGTGATGTTTGAAGGGGGACATGATCGTCCTTTGCGAGAGGTGCCCGCAAAGAAGGCGCTTGCGGGAGTATTGCAGAAAGCATTTTGGTCAAGAAAGCAGTGATTCTGCGCTCAATGAGAATAAATGTGTCTCTGAACAGATTGATGAGACTCCAGCTTTTATATGCATCGTTCCTGCAAACAATCCGAATCGCCTAAGTCTCATGGTAGAAGGGTTCCGTCATGCACTCTCTGGTGTTGGTGGAGAGAGGCATGGATATCCGGCCAGCCCGGATATTTCTCCGAGCTCGACTGCATGCTTGCATGGCACTCCATCGTTTCGAATAACTCAATTCCGAACCCATTAACAAGTTTAGTCTGTCTGTCTGTCTGTCTGTTAATACCAGCAATGGAGGCGGCACTGCGTATCACATGTATCCTAACAATCATAACCAGCCACGGCAGTGGATCTTCACTATCGGCCTCGTGCATCTACAACAACGAAACAACTGCCCGGGGCAACTCGAACGAGCGGGCAATACAACACAGGGAGGAAGAATACGCCGGAGGAGAGTCCAATAAGATACAAGTCATCCCAAGTCGTGTAGTCATTTCATGTCATTAGATCAGTCAAAAGAGCCTGGTCAGGCATGCAGCATTCCCAAGACATCATGATCGAGTCGCTACATGGGGAATGTCGGCGGATCGTTACTCAGATTTGTGAATGCCTAAGCAAGAAGCATTCAGTCAGTCTCTCCGGGTCAAAATCCAACCACAACGATATCACTTACCCAGGAGTCAATCTGCGTCCATAGGAGTGAACCGTCCAAGCTATCCAGAAAACTCAGGTCTATCTCCGACTCCAAAGGCGACGGTGTGAAATTGGTCAGCGGTAGTCCACTCGGATAATCATAGGAGCCAGCCTCCAGGGGTCCAGAAGGATATATACTAGTCAGGCTCAACTGTCCTTGCTCCGCCAGTGTGCTCGAATTCTGGCCCTGAAAGAAGACAGCGCGAAACCCCTCGGAGGTATCGCTGGATGAGCCAATCCGCCTACGGACTTCTCGCCTCAGCTCTTCCAGAATGATGCTGTAGCGACGACTGGGTGAATTCCTCCGGGTGGCCTCTGCCAGATGCTGCTGGCAAGTTTCCGCCAGGCTGAACAGGGAGTAGAGATGGTGGACATCCTCGATCCCGGGGGAGGATATCTCAAAGGTAGTAGATAATCGATGCTGTTGGATTGTATATATGTACACCACAATGATGGCGCAGAAGCACACGTAGTGGGTAAACCAGAACGATTGTATCAGGACCCTCTGTTTCGCTAAGCTATCCACTAACCTCATGGCTTGCTCGGCAGCCTCGATGCACTTGAGCACGTGGTGAGTCACCGTAGGATGGGGGATCTGTGGCGTGCGGTTCAGATCCGTAAAATCGTTCAGCAGAAACGACCGGGTCGTATGAATCACCGCGTGTGAGTAAGCCAACTGCAGAACCTGGCTCTGCCTACATAGTGGAGGGATCAGGCTCGTGGCCCGAACACTATTGAAAAGTGGAGGGGTGGCTGCTTTCCAGTCTTCAAGCTTCGTCATGAGGCGTGCAACCGTCTCAATCGACGCATCTCGCGATAGAGGGCTGACTGTATACAACTGTCGCGAGATCTCACCAAGAATACGACCCAGTCTAAGCAGTTAATCACTACTGTCAAGCACCAAGGAACAGATCCAAGCATACCTATAGTGGAGAAGGGAGGCGGTCATCATACAATCCCCCACCCCTGGTCTGGTCGATGAATATTCTTCCAACATGTCTTCATCGTGGACTTCATCAGGCAGCTCTTGATCAATGTCCTCATCATGAAGCAGACGAGGCCTCCCAAACATGACGCTTAGATATTTATCCAAAGTATAAGTGCTCCAGAACAGGCGCTTCCGAAGCTCCCGGTCGAGATAGGAATTGCCATCGCGGGGGACTTTGCCTCGGTGCCGTCGGTGCAAACCCAGCGCCGTCACCAGCTGGAGGGCTGTCCCGAAGGAGTACCAGCACTCGTTGGCCCTGGAGGAAGAGAGTAGATAGAAACATTGGCCCAGTCGCGCCTGCACTGATTCCAGACGCGGAGCTCCAGACTCCAGGGCGGTCATAGATTTGGAGGCCGCATACCACTGCTCGCTGCGATTATATCAGCCTGCACAATGGTCCAAGGCCGTGGAGGCAAAGCACACTCACCTTCCATGCTGCCTATCTATCTGACTATCTGGGTCTTGCTCCTCGTACAAAGTGCCCACAGCGAAGATCATGAAGATTATGGCTGTTCGCGCTACCATGCGCCCCGTTGGGGGGTTGGATACAGAATGATTACATTCATACACCTGCTGCAGCCATTGGTCCACACTCCCGCGATGCAAGAACCGATATGTGACCATGGACAAGTCGAAGTAGGTACTAACCAGCTCCCGAGCCTTCTCATACGGAGGCAGTGTGGATCCAACGTCGCGATGGGCCGCGTACGGTTTATCCCCAAACTTGAACACCGAGGTATTCTTGGATGGAGATTCATTCTGTAGTGCATCGGGAACCGCTCGTTTCTCATCCTGATGTAAACGGCGCCAGACGCGATTAAGGAAGGACAGGCCTGAGGCCGGTCCTAGATAATTACCTTCCAAATCGGTCACGGCGGGGTCCGGTGAGTTGCGCTGGGAGATGTTGTTGTTGTTATTGTTGCCGCGGTTGCGATCATACAGATCTTGGTGAGAGGCTGATCCAATGCGTGACAATGAGTGTGCGATTGGATGTGAGCGCCGTGTTCTCGGACCGTGAACCGCATGAGTGTCTCCGAGCTGCTCGCCAGATGAAGCAGGCAGGGGCTCGGGGGGAAGACCTCGTGAGTAGGCGGCATTGTATTCGCATACCAGCGACAGCCGTGTACACCTTACGCAGGGAATGGTTCCCGTACAGCGAGTCTTCTTTTCCTTGCAATGATCGCAGGCCCGGGTAATCTTTTGCCGGGGAGTATTGGATTTGAGTATAGATGAGGAGGACTCGGAGGACCTTCTCGGTCGTTTTGCAGCAAGTATATCTCGGCCATTGGCACTAGATCGAGACCTAGATCGAGACCGAGCCCGAGACCGAGCCCGAGCCCGACGGTGACTGTCACCGACGACTCTTGGTGGCACTGGGTCCTCCGATGACGACAAACTGTCCACCGCAGCGACAACAGTGGCAGCCATATGGACATATCCCGGATTTCGAGGTTGGTTGGCTGGGGGGGATTAACGAGAGAGGCGGTACCACAGAAAGGAGGAGAAGAATACGTAGGTAGTAGGTAAGGTACCTAGTAAGTAGTAATCATGGAGAGATGCAGTCAGTGTCAGTTTAGTGGAAGGGAGAAATTTCCGGGGATGGCGAGAAGAGCGGGGAAATCGTGAGTCTAATCCGGATTTCCCAAAGGCGGGGGAGGCGAAGGAATTTGACCCAAACATAACAAACATCTTCTTTGCTGTCACTCTTGTCAGTCTGCAGAATCTGGAACACCCCCTACTGAGCGTACAGTACAATACAGACAGTACAGGGCATCAGAGACAGCCAAGTAAGGAAATTTTGTACAGATGCAGATGCTGATAAAACATCACCTCTCATGATGATTGATGAGTCAGCTACATAAAGCAAAGTCTGAATAACTATCAGATACTAGATATACTGTAGATCAACCAAAGAGCTTAGATCTACATGGACTGTACAGTACAGAGTCTATTTGCATACCATTAAGACACGCTTCACGTCCAACTGATCTTCCCAGATGTTCCAGATCATCCGAAGACCCTGCAGAGAATACAAAGCTATAATTCGGTCATTGAGAAACTACCGACGTAGAACTAGAGCATGAGAAAGAGACCAGAGAACAGCATACACTAGCACCAGTGCGAGCGAATAATGTAGATTCCATTCTAGGGAGAAGAACGCAATTACTCGTAGGAGTGGCAACGTCACGGGTTATCCGCGCAAAAGCACGGAGCTGGTGGCAACCAACATGAGAACATCAAATCCCGCTTCAAAATACATGCCCGCACGCCCACTATATTCCAAGCAACTTCCCTCGCAACAGGGATCCTCCCATTCTGCTCAACTCTTCCAACCCGGTTGTGTCCCATTCTCTGTTCCAGGTCGTGCCGCAACGGACATAAGACAGAAGGCACCGGGAAAAGTTCATCCCCGATGCTTCCTGCTTCGCCTGTTTGATGCAGGCCCAAGCCCAACAAATGTAGCGGGTCTCCATCGCACAAGGGCAACCGGAGTGCAAGCCATGTGCGATGGGCCGTGGTCGGGGTGTGAAGATCAGAAATGAAGGCCGGCCGTCATCATCATCGTCATCGTCAATGTCAAGAACTGTTGCTGCATGAAACGAGCGACTTCCTAGCGAGCTTAGGCTAACCCTAGAGGTTTTGTTGGTTTATCGGCGGGGTCTCGGGAGAGTTGGTGTCTGACTCTTCATCGGACTCGTCGCTTTCGAGCTCATACATCACCTCGTCCTCGCCCTCCTCCTCTTCCTCCTCCTCCTCAGGTACAGAGAGCGTCACATACTCGCTAAGGATGTCTTGAAGCTCGATGAGCCCGGTGGGCTGCCTCATCCTAGACAGGACTTCCCGGGTTAGCTCCCCGTCTCCGATTCGTATGGTCTCCATCAAGCCATTTATCAGGCTCTTATAGACCCTCAGGAGTTCCTCGGTGCGCTTTTGTTCGGCCTTGCGGCGCTTGTCCTTGGACTCATTGACCTGGCAAGAACGACCGTGAACACGGCACTGGGTGCAAGGTATTCCCGTATCTTTTATGGTGCACTGCAACGGGGTTTCTCAGGTCAGACTAATGCAGAGGTGAGGTCGAGTCAGGATGGAGATCAGAAGGTTCATCAAGAGGGGCTTTAACAGTGATACTCTTTTTCGAAATAAAAACGGTACCTTACCCTTGTTCGCAGCCGCTGGCACTCAAGGCACGCGGTGGACGCTCGCCGTGTCTTTCCACTCTCGGGAGCCGGGGGAGGGTCTCGAGCCTCATCTTCCTTGGCTGCCTTGGGCGCGATAGAACGATAGGACGTGACACCGCGTTCGGACATGCTTCAACCCGGGCGTGTAAGACGACCAGAAACGGGGATAAAGCAAACAACGGAGGATCGGACTCGAGGCGAAAAGGGAAAGGTGAAAGAGGAACCTTGAAGGGACAAATACACTAGGGTGGATCGTGGGAAAGAAAAGAAGACCAACCGATCATGCTCCTCCTGGGGAGGCACATCTATGACAATAGAGAGGAAAGGGTCATGCTCGATCGAGACGATCTAAGACCTCTCAGTACAGCAATCTGCTGCCCTGCTGCACTTGGTTAAGAAGCTAGGGGAAAGAATGAGCACAGGTGTGTGGATGAGGTCGACTCAGCCAAGCCAGCATCGGGAGAAAAGGAAACACACAGAAATGCAATGTCAGACGCCAAAAGCCCCTCCCGGGAGCCTAATGGGGCGCGATCAGGAGTGCACCGAAAGTCAAACTTGACCAAGACGGGAAAGGCAGTCAAACTCGAAATCGTCAGGCCTTGAAAGGCGGCATTTAGGATATCTACGCACCAACCGGGTCTAATCCCTCCTTTTCCAAATCAACCTGAAAGAACATTGGGAACTTGGAAGCCACAAAAGCGTGCAGATACTTGGACTGGTTCTGTGGCAGCTGCGGCCTCTGGGCAGAGCAAGGAAAGGTAAGAGTGGAAGGTAGGTAGGTAGGTAGGGGGAGGGGGTGGGCGCTGAGGAGGGGCGGCACTCGACCGCTTGTTATGAACGAACCGGTGTGAGCCATCGATTCTCTCCTCTCCTTCTCTCTGACACTTCCCAGGTACCAGAGGGTCCTCGTCAAGGGACAACTACCAGCAGGAAGGGATTGGGCTTAAAGTTACGATGGGGGAATCCAGTGGGCAGGTGGTAGTTGCAACTTGTGGTAGTTGCAACTTGAGTTTGACGTGCAGATGACGAGACCACGACGATAGTGAGGACAAACCAGGCTCTATCGGTCATGGGAGGGGGGCGATTAGCAATAACCTCACACGAGAGCCAGACTGTGTATGCCATGATTGCCATCTCAGTCCTGGGTCAGTTCCTCGACTCGAAGCAGCCATCTGGCCAGGCTCTGGTTCGATTGCGATTGGGCCCGTGACATTGCAGGTCCACCGCACTATCACCAGAATTCTCGGCCGCGGGAGGGGATCTCTTTTCTGGTCTCGTTCCACTTGGAGGGATCACTCGCTTGCTGAAAATGCAGAAAGTGCAGAAAGTACCGAACCATACTGAATTTGCATTCTTGCCGTCACGACAGACATGCATGACGTCGCTTGTCTGCATTGCCAACCGAGCTGATTGCACGGGTCTTGTCTCCGGGCAGTAGGATATAATGCTTAGGTAGGTATTGAGTAAGGGAGAGGACGACTACCGTACTTGTCAAAATCACGGGCTGTGACGCTCTTAGCGAATCTGAGTGCAGGACTGCCCCGGAAAAAGTATCCATAGGATTTCCTTGGACAGCAGCAACGGATAGATACTGCGAGGGGGAACGGATGGAACCAGCCTCCTCCCCCCTGTGGCCCAGTAGAAGTAGGTATGTGAACGACTGCTGGGTCCGAATCCGATCCAGGCTAGTTCCACCATGCCTGCCCACCAGGGCCTGTCTGACTCGGTATGTACAGTACAGCAGGAGTTCTGTCCGTAGCGCTGGAGGGCTGCCCTGTACGCACTCCGTTAGTTTGTCTGTACCCAGCGGCTCAAAGTCACACCTTCGGCCCGCATCGCATACGATCCGAGAACCAGTATGTCGGAGTCTGGCCGTCCGAAAAGAAGGGAAAAAAAAAGAAAAGAAAAAAAAGAAAAAAAGAAAAGAGGTCGTGTAGGTAGCAAACGAGTGGAGGATGGGACGTTGAGCTGAAGCCTGAAGGGAGTACGAATGAATACAGGGTACGTATGTGTGTAGTAGGTCTGGAACTACTAGGTAACTACCTAGTAAGGGCCCATGGGAACCTTCATCGGAAGATTTGGACGGGAAATCTTCCGGTCTTTCTCCGCTAGACCCGGCAAGGCATAACTTAGCTCACTTAACTAAATCATCAGGTTAACTCCTGTCTACTCCAGCTTAGTGGTTTTACCGTACGCCCGAGTCCGTCACGGGTACTACTCGAGGAGTCGAGAGTTGAGTCCTACTGTAGTGCACTCTCGTTCACACACAACACAAAACACACACCACACACTTTAGGTGCAGAAGAGACTGATCTTGGATAATACAGTCAACCTGGGGAATCACGGAATGTTGACCAGCTAGCTAACCGACTAACCGAAATAAAGATAAGAAGTTTCAAAAATATGCAGGAAGCGAACCGCGCACGTTAAGGAGAAGAAGATCTCATAGTGTTTCCAACTTTCTCGGGATGTCATTCATGTAAGAAAGGACGGTCTCAGTAGATGGGCCGGCCTTCGTCCCATTTTCGAGGGACCGGAGTAGCATCCTGACTAGCAGCCAAGGGACGACCACCGTCCTCGGGCGATGAAGGCGAGAAATGCACTGTGTGCACATCCCGGCCCGTGCTGTTGCCGCTACGTTCAATCTCGTTGCGGACGCTGCCAATCCCCCCAATCCATTCCCACACACGGGCAACATCTCCTCCGCGACCCTCCCGCACCGCAGCTCGGACGTTGGCGTTGCCTTCAACGATACTGCGCACGCGCTTCCAGAGCCCCTCGCGCCGACTTCCGCGCAGCTCGGACCGGAGGACATCATCACGCAACTGTCCAATGGGAATGTAGGGCTCTCGGGCCGCACCGCGAGCATGTAAAGCCGCCTGTGTCGCGAGGCGATCGAGCGTAGTGGCCACAAGTTCAGGGACCCGGGCCATGTCCGAGCGGCGAGCCCGGATTTTGGAGCGGACATAAAGTGTCAAGCATACCGCGAGAGTCAGAACCGAAATAGGAAGTCGATACGCGAGGAGAGAGAGTCGGACGTAGCGGCGGAATGCGCAGGTGAGGGGGAGCCGGCTGACGGAGGTGGACGTGAGGGTGAGGACAGAAGATGGTCTGTAATTGTGTGGGTGTCTCTGTTAGTTCCACAATACAAGTCAGAATCCGAATCCTTGGGAGGGTGCCAGAGGGAAGGCCAGGGTGTCGCGAACAGGCTGGAATTAGAAGGAGGAGACCAGGAACTACTCACTGTTGGACTCGAGTGACGACTTCTTCTTTGCCAACCACCTCACCTAAGGCTCCCTTCCACAAGTCATCAAACTCCGCGTCACTCATCCCCTTGCGGCGTTTCTTTCCGACCTCTTGCTTCAGCTCGGTTTCACTGATCTCAGGACCCTTTTCTCCTTGGTCACCGTGCACAATTTCGCCACACTCCCACTTGGCCCGACGGTCCCGGAGGGTTTCGAGGGCTCTGTCGGCAACAGCTTTGACTCGGCGTGCCTTCTCACTGTCGGCTTCGCACGTCGGGGCAAGAGGTACCAGTCCACCTAGCGACAGAGGGTGTGCCTTGAGGATGAAGTCATGCTCACAGCGAGCCTCAAAGTTTGGGTAACAGAAAGCATGGGGAGGACACGGTTCGCACTGCGGCTCGAGAACATTGGCCCATTCAGGAACCCGGGTGTCTGCCAATGACCAGGTGGGTTTGCCTATACCGCAGAATCCAATCTCAATCTTCTCCTTGCGCCACCAAGCACCAAAACCGGCGACAAGGGCTAATATAATGATCCAAGGCGCAGCACGGTTTGCTGTCCGCGCTTGTTGGGGCCGGGCGCTGGGGGCGCTTGGCGAATACATCAAGTGCGCCCGGTCCTCCTCAAGCGCCAACTGCTCCTCGGGCGTGAATTCTTCGCCAGCACTGACCTCGCTGTCGCTATCCTCATACTTCTCCACCGCCTCCAGGGACTGCTGAGGAGATCTAGGCTTAGGCACGGGGAACTCGAACGAAGATCGCTTTGACGGGGTAAAGCCATAGTCAGCATTCATGTCCACTGGCGTCATGGACCTCCTAGGCCGTAGACCGTTGCTGGCAGCAGGGGAGTTCAGTGAGAATCGCGAGGCGCTCTTCCGCCCAACACTCGAAGTTCTCGGGCTCCGGTGCTCCCACCGGGCTGGCGATCCACTTTGAAATGGGTTGTCATCGGTGAAGACACTCTCGTCCTTGGGTTCCAACTTGATTGCTGAGAAGGGGGTCTTCGGCTCAGGCTCGGGTTCGGGTTGTGGCTCGGCAGCAGGAGTCATCTCACTTTTTCGTGGTTTGCGGGTCGTCGACTTTCGGGGAGTAGCCGTGTTAAACGGGACCGGGGTTGCCGTCATGTCGTCGTGCGATTCGGTATCGGACGCGCGATAGCGTTTGCTGGTCGACCGGGGGACCGTTCTTCGAGAGCTAGTGGATGGCGTGGCTGATACGTGGGCATCCTCCGTGTCGACCGTCGATGCTCTCGTGCTCAATTTGGAGCGTGCGCGCCGACCGCCCGTCGCGGTCGAAACCGTGGAAGGAGTAGGTGGGGGAGGCATCGACTCTCTGCCAGATTCATGGTATTGATCGTTGTAATCGCTCACGACTGATGAGGCGCGACTACCCATATCCGTAATTCCTTCACTGGTTCTCCTCACCCTTTCCCGTTCGCGCAGAAGCTTCTTAGCCTGAGGCAGAACTTCTGTCTCAAGAATGCTGATGAGTTGAGCCTTCTTGGCTGAGGCTGGATAGGGAACATCGTGGCTAACGAGGATGGACCGAAGACGAGGAACGGTGAGCGAATTCAGGTCAAAGTCGGGAGCCAGATAATCCAAACCGTCCGCCATGATGAAGAGTGATTGATCCTAGCAATGATCAACGCCACCAGGGGAGGGGTAGGGAAAGAAGGGGGAATGAAGTTGAAGATGATGATGGTGTTACGGCAGAAAAAAAAATCCGGGGGGAGAATTTAGAAAAAAAAAGAGGACTGAGACTAAGATAGGTGGTTAAGCCAGCCGGTTGGCGGTCGATAACTGCAGTGGCTGTGAGTGATGGGATGAATTTCACTCAAGTGAAAATCCGGATTTTCGATGATCCTCCCTATCGTCAGAGACGCAACAAGCAACAAGCAGCAGCAGCTGAGCCGCCGTCCTTCAAATCAATCTGATCGTCTCCAGGGCAACAACAAACCCGACCGAGCTGCAAGCGAAACAGCCAAACAACAAAAAACAAAGTCAACTGGCCAGTTGAGGAGGTGTCAAACCAGACAGTCCGATCGAATTGAGGCACCCACACTCAGAAACAGAGTCGTTGTAGATGAAGGATTTGCAGGCATCACAGTCAGTGATGCATTAGGGGCATGTTTCGAGGAGACGAGGAAGGGCTTGATGATGAAGTTATTTGTTGTGTGCTTGGATCATGTGACATAATTGTTACACTGCATCCCAGCTGATTAATAACCTATGGCATAACTAGCTAAGTGTACTACCGTAGATAGGCCCAGAGGCCATGCCAAAACATCCAGCCATTTTTATGTGTTCAGATAATCGAATTCCATCGAGTACATACACAATTACCAAGTGAATCTAGACACATAGGGCACAAACAGTATTGCCACCTTTGGCTCCTAGACCCATGCTTCGGAATTCCTTTCACACCCCGCCCGCCCTTCCTCGTGACGCCCGCGTAAGTGTAGCAAAAGGTTGATGGGGAAATAATAGAAAAGAAAAAAAAAGAAAAGAAAAGAAAAAACACAAGAATGATAAGCGGCAATAGATACAGATATGATCGATTAGGATGAACCCCTCGTTACTATATTCATCGGGATTGGGAAGGAGCGGCGAGATCCGCCAGGGTTCATCTCGCCAGACAAACAGACTCCCTGGGTGAAAGAGAACGGTCATGTAGTATTCAAGGTTGGGTTGGGTTTTACCGCGGCTGCGATGCAATTAAATTCACCTGTAGCTTGTGGTAGTGCCAGCACTGACAGCTACTTGTTCCTTAAGAACGCGGTACTCTTCAAGCCGGTTTTGCAATTCTTGCATTACTTCGGAGATCGGGGCGGCATGGTCATTGAGTTGATCACCGGGTTTAAATGGTCGCAGCATGTGCCGGATGGAAAGAGTATTGATGCAAACCTGGTCCACGATTAGTACATACCGTTGGATGGTGCCATTCTTTACTCACCTCGATGCGCGTCACCTGTTGCTCCACCAGGCTGACCACGGTCGAATCTGCAAGTTCGCCGCCATGGTTCTTCACAACGTTGAACAAGGCCACGTTTGGTTCCTTGAGGCGGGCTTCGCCAGGATACTCCAAGGCACCACAAAGCCTTTCAAGTCGAAGAGTAAGTTCCCACAGCCGCCAAATCAAGTCGGTCTGGATCTCTAGCTGCGAG